GAGCTCCAGCAGGGCAGGAGGTCTTGCCCTGTCCTCAGGCTATCTCCGCCCCCACAAGCCCCCTACATTCATTGTCCCATGGGGCACACCACGGATACTCAGTGCAGACTTGCCAAACGAATGAATGATGCTGTGCTGTGCAGCAGGACCACCATACCCCAGAGGGCCCCAGCCCTGGGGGTCCAGGGAGGAAGAGGTCTGAGCTACTGCGTGACAAGTATCAGCACGCGGTTCTGGGCCGGCTTTGGACTGGTTTGGAGTCAGCCCTGCTGTTGGAGAACACAGTGCTGCAGGGGGAGAAGCAGAGCAGACGCCCCGAGAAAGGTCACACGCCTGCGTCGAGCACAGCGGGCAGCGTGTCCAGGCTGCCGCTCGGCAAGGCCAGAGCACGTGGCAGGTGAGAAGCGGGGACGTGTGTGCAGTGGCCGGTGGGGGGCCCTGTGGGCCAGGCCAGAGCTGGCCTTCCATCCAGGGCAGTGGGGCAACGAGGGGTATGAGCCAGGGAACGGTGTGGGCGGCCTTCCATCCGTCACACGCGGTAACACCACAGGCGTCTTAGTGACCGTGAACGAGGACTCACACCTTCTCCCCACTCCCAGATTTTAACTTCACTTATTAAAAGAGAAATTCTAAAAGGCCAGGATGTCATAACAGGAACAGAGGCAATAAAAAGCACCCCCCCACACACACTCCTGATACTCCCATCCCTAAAGGAAAACACATGTGCAAGTTGGGGCCTTCAGATAATTAAGCCAGACTGGAAATTACGCAAACGAAACATATTCAAGTATGCAATGAATTTTAAATGACAGAACTACAGAAAACTTAATTGCCGTATTAGCATGCTATAAAAACACTAATCATAAATGTAAAACAATAACACCTGCATATACTTGTATCAAAATTGTCCCCATGACACACGCATCCAGTGGCTCCCTCCTGCGGGTTCATGTGCGATCCTACCTTGACACGCCATGAGAAAAAAGGGTGATGCCAACACCTCACTGATCCTCTTAACCATTCTGCTCACCAGCACAAATGTTACGTGTTTAATTATTGTTCAATGTTTCTGAAGTAGTTATTAAAAAATGAGCCAAAAATATAATTTTCTACAGTGCTCATTTTTAAAAAGTTACTGCCGTGCTCACAGGGAATTTAAATGTTAAATCGCATTAATGGTGGTTTAACGATATGTTCTGGACTAGAGTATATGTTAGTCCTCTGTAAATGACAGGAGCCAAGTTTCCCATCTTTCTTCATTAAAGGAGCATTTCCTACTCATCCATTAAGAATAGTGCTCTTCAAAAGACCACCGGGATCACATTAATGACAAATCGTGAACAGATTGGGGGAAAAAGCCATTAGTTTGCCAGGTCTTGAAGTAGATTCATATTCAAGTGCAGCTTCAGTTGTCTTTTTCAACCGCACAAATGACAGATTCTCCTCGGTCCTGGGTTCAGGGTCCGGAAGCGAAGAGCTGGGCCCAGCCACCCCACCCCACCCGCTCGGCTGAGCCTCTGGGACAGCACGCTGTCGGTCAAGCCCAGGCACCTGGGCCCAGCTATACTGCCTTCAGTGGGTCCTCTCTCCCAGCTGGTCCGTGCGTGCCCTGCCCTGTCCCACGTGGAACCCACACATCCTAGAGCAGCTGCCTCCACCCTGGGCACACGTGAGAATCCCTGGGGACCCCAGAGATTGGCAGTTCCCCAGCTCCCCAGTACCACTAACGTGCACCCAAGAGGTCAAGAGGGCAGCCCAAAGCCCAAAGCCACCGTATCATTGCTGCCCCCACCCCTGCCCAGCCTGGGGCAGGCTGCAATTGGTACAAACCCTGATGCCTCAGTTTACCCCAAGGCTCCAACTGGCTTTGTGGGCCCAGACACCAAGATCTACAAAAGCTTCCCAGGGGAGTGGAACATGAAGCCTCGGATTCAGAGTGACTGAGAGGTGGCCTAAACTTGGGGGACCCTTCTCCTGCCCATGACCCTGAAGTGCCTGCCGGGTTTTCTCCCCACCATTTTCCAAGACTCTTTTGTGACCTAGCACTTGCAAAGGGCAGACGCGTGGGAAACACCGCATCAGAAATGAGTGATTGGCATCCTTCACGGTGCTCCCCAAATCTTCCATTACAGTAAGGAGGAGAGAAGGAGAGACTCCTAAGGTAGCTCCTGGGTCAGCATTTAGGGGATAGGAAATGATGGTCCCCACCATTCTGACCTCCTTCCCCCAGTCCATGCCCACGTTTGACTAGCACCCCTCAACCTGGTGGGTTCCCTGCCCCTGGATGCCCAGAGCTCATCCTTCCCCCCCGGGCATACAGGATGTGCATGGGCCTGTCTCCCGGGGCTGTCTGGGGACACCTGAAGGCTGGGATGACATCACTGCTCGCCAGCACGGGCCCAGAACATGGCAAAGGCATGATGGGCACATGTGCCCTGAATGATGAGTGAGCATGGCGCCAAAGAACCACCCAGTTTCCTCCTCCAGCAGCCTGAGTCCCACCCACCTGCCCCTGCACCTCCAGGCCCTCGTCCCCTGCCCAGTTTTCCCTGTCTTGGCTGCCCGCCTCCTCCTCCTCCTGACAGGCCCCTAGCGCAGCACAGCACATTCTTCCTGCTGGTGCCAGACCCTGGTCGCCATTCCGGCCTATCTGTTCTTGCAACCCTGCCTTCAGAGATCACCACTTCTGCAGGAATCCCATGCATGTGCACAGCGTGGCACACAGCAAGCACTCAATAGATGCTGTGAAACAAGCAAAAAGGTACAGGTAGAGACACAGGGTGAGCAGTGCCCTGGGGCCCAGACTTCTGAGAGAGTGGGCTCCTTCCCATGGTGAGACCCCAGCCTGTCCTGGGGCAGAGAGAGGAAGGCAGGGACCCCCTCTCTTTCTGCAGGCTGCATGAGGGACAGCGACTTGGTTCTTCTCCCTTCTTATCTCCCAGTGCCAAACACAGAGCCAGAGACACAGAAAGTGCTGGAGAAATAGTGATCAAATAAATGAAGGCACCAACCAAAAGACCGTTCAAGAGGCTCCCGGCTTTCCCGCTCCAGAAACAGCCTCCTCACCCCTCACTGAAGTCCTTCACATCGTGGCCTGCTCCTGGTCCCCAGCCACCCCCTCCCTAATCCAAGCAGTCTGCCCGCCATTCCTAGGGAGCCAGCTCACCTTGGCTCCTGCTCGTCCAAACCGAGCTGCATCCCATAGGCCGTACGCCCTCCCCGTCTCCCCGACCCAAGGACACTGACACATCCTTCAAGATGCTCCAGAAACACCCCACCTTCACCAAGAAGCCTGGCCTGCCATCCACAGGAGTCTGCACTGCCCTGGAACCGCCCCTCCGCCACTTTGGAAAGACAGGCTTTGCTCACTGACCCCAACACTTTTTTTTAACTCACCCGTCAACCCAAGCCTGAAGAGGTCCAGAACTCCCAAGTTCATCTCTGTCCTTCCCAGTGCCCAGCCTCCCACCTTGCAGCACCTGCAGACCCTGGGAAAGGGAAGCCCAGCCTGGCACACGTGGCCCTGCTCTGCGGCTGCCCGTCCTTCCCGCCTGCGTCCCCCACATCCCACTGTGTGTGATCCCAGACTGTGCTGCAGCCCTGACCTGACCCAGCCCCTCCTAACAGGGGGGGCTAGGATCTGCTTCATCTCTGTCTCCAGGCAAGGGGTCCCTGCAGTCAGTTAACGGGTTACACAAATACATGTATCTGAGATGCCCGGATAGTCTTTCCCTTGTACTCCCAACATTCCCGGTTACAGACTCTACCCACCTACACCCTCCCTCCCATTCAAACCAACAAAGTGGAGCATCTATCTCCTCCCCCTTCTGCTCCATGCCCACTGAATCCCAGGTCGCACGCCTGCCCAGCCAGCCACTGGGCATCACACACAGGGTAGCTCAGCTACAATGCACACAAACTGAGAACCAAAGGAAAGGAATGGGACAAAATCATTCATGAAGGCTTTCTACCCAGAAGCACCACGACCTTAATAAATATAAAATCGCAATATAAAGTCTTAAACATATTATCCTCAAAACTTCCTACAGTTCAATCTAAAAAGCTTGTAACCTATTGTATAGGACATATGGAAAAGTAGACACAAATGCTTAAAATAACAGACACAAAACAGAAACATAAGCAATTGTAGCAGGTCTAATTTTAATTGCAAGAGAATATTTAATCGATAAATATTCACTGCTGAGAGCGGCATCTGCATTTAGGATTACGAGGTACTAAGCTGCAAATTTATTGAGACTCATTAGCAAGAAGAGTCTTTTAAATACTGAATGTCAGACCCAATTTAGAGTAAACACTTAGAGTTCCCTACTGATTTAGCTCCAAAGATAATTTAAAAAGGGAAAGAGAAGAAAGCTGTCTATAAATGACTCCAAAGTTTTCAGCAGGGCCAAGCTCACTGCAGATATTGACCGGAGTGAAGCACCAGAGAGAGTGCTAATGGCCACTCCACCCTGCCCACCTCATCTTCTCCAGCAGTCTCCACAGTTGGGCAGTTTAGAACCAGGGCTGAGGCACCAGAACCCCACCCTCCATCAAAGAAACACAGATACTTTTAGAATCACTTTCTCCCCCTTACATCACTAGTAAAGTACATTAAAAAAAAAAAAAGGTCAAACGTATTTCACTGTGATGGATTCCTAAGAATTGAAATAGTCTTCCATGATGGATCCTTTCTCTATCACAGGTTTGAAAATATTACAAAGATTTCTAGAATAATAAAACCACAGGAAAAGAATACAGCTATCATAAATAATTACTCATCCTCATTTTCTGCCAGCCTTGTCAAACCAAGCTTGAAATGAAGCAAAAGATGGAAAATGTCACCTTAGCTCAGGCCAAGGCCCAGATCACTGCCACAAAGACAGGGTGCGTGCCTGGCCACGGCTGATGGGCCACACTCCGGGCCACACTCCAGGCCACACTCGGGGCCAGACTCTGGGCCAGGCCGCGCTGGTGACCAGGCCCCCCCCGAGACTTACTGAGAGCAGCTTCCAGGTCATTGGACGAACCGGCTTAGGGATTCCGGACCAGCTCAACTTCCGTAATTCCTCTGTTGACAACAAAGAGACAAAGAAAACAGGGTTTACAAACAGCGAACTCCCCACAGGGCTTTGACCTATTTCGTCAGTGTTCCTGGACGGGAGGGGGGCTCCATAAATGAAACCAGAGTGAACCTAAGTGAAAAAGATTTCAGATACTGATTGTTCTCAATATACGAGAGACGCTGAGTGACCTCCACTCCGGCAGAGCTAAGTGTCTACATTTAAGCCACACAGAGTGCACGTTTACTAAATGCATGGCAAGTGTCCCCAGAGCCACCCTGGGACAGGTGGGGCACCACACACCTTCCTCCCTGGAGCAGGAGAGGCCTCCTCCACACGCCCCCTCCTTCCCTCCCTCAGTCCCACCAACACCTGTCCCCACTTCCACCACCCCCGCCCCGGTGCTCCCTTCTTTCCTGCATCCTATCTCCCTCTCACCATTCACTGCTTACGTATATGAGGTGCTTTGCTCAGGACTGCTTCTGACAGAGATCATGTCACAGAGATAAGCTTGTGTTCACAGAGCACTGCTCAAGGGGGTAGCCACGTTATTCAAGGTAGACTACTACAATCGCTGCTGCATCCACGAATACCCACGGGTGGGGAGGTCACAGAGGGCAGGGCCAGCCAGGGGCACAGGGGCCCGGAACCAGCGGGTGTGGAGCTGCCGAGGGCAGGAGAGGGCACGGCAGGGACTGAGGGGGCGGCCCCCGAGGTCCGTCGGACCTTCTGTGTCTCCCCGTGTCACAGCCACATGCCCCGAACGGCGAGAGAACACGTTTCAATTTGCAGGTGTATCAACACTCAGTCAATCCCACTGAAACTGAAGTAATTATTTCTTTAAGTTAGGAATCCGCCATCAGGCTCTTCTCCTAACAGCTAGGAGCTCATGATTAATATTAGGAATAAAAGAAACGATTAAAGAGGCTCTGGTAATATAATCAACAAAATACAAAGTCCTGACATCTAATCTTTTTCCAATTACTACAGTCTAAGTAAAATAAGTACAGAATAATTGGGTGACGGTACCAGCAATAACTTGCACTTTACAGCAGAATCTCAGAAAATACCGAATCTTCCCCCGCACCCCGAGGATATTATGAAAAGCAGGAACCTAATATCCGAACACCAATAATGTAATGTTTACCGTCATGTTCCCAGGGCCTCTCCTCCTGCACAAGGTTGGTTTTCTGATGGTGGTTTATATAAAGAAAGCTGAGCGAAATCTCCGTTGTTAGCATTCTCCAAACCTGTCTCCTCATGGAAGAAACTCACAAACACGGTGCCTTGTGTACGTGTGGGACAGAGTTCTGAGTCTGCGTCACGTTAGCATTAACCAGTTCTTTCATGGGTACTATCTGCTCCTCACGGCAGCCCGAGTCCATCAGGGCTGTCCCCACCGTGTCAATGAGGAGCAGGCTCAGCGAGGCCAGGTGACCCAGGAACTAAGTGACCTTTGCATCTCAGAATGTTTCCACTCTGTTAACTCCCATTACTAAAAGGGCTTCCCGTAACACAGACAAATCTCATTCATGAATATGGACAAAAGGTCCAAAACAAAATCCTCACAGATCAAACACAACCAGACGTTCAAAGACTGGTACACACGATTTACTCCAGGAATAAAAGAACTCCAAGTCAGGACATCTTCTAGTTTTATCAAAGCGTTCAACCGGGTTGATGGGAAAGCCATAGGACCATTCTGTTGGATGTCCAGTGTAGACTTTCACCCCGGGCCTGTTTGCCCCTCCACCTCTCTAGCAGAATCCCGGTTGTACAAAGTGACAACCCCCACCCCACCTCCCGGCAGCCCCGGTAATGAGGGGAGTCAGCCCGGGAGAAGTTGGAACTGATTGGCTGTGCGAAGCTGAGCCCGCCCTCACCGCGGAGGGACTCCGCAATGAGCCTGGGACACTGTCTGAGCCACAGAAGAGAGCAAATGAGCTGGGGGCTGCTGAGGAGAAAGCCCCTCCCTGCTCTTCAGAAGTCTTTTGGGGGCAACAATCTCTTGCTTCCTCTGCAGGCTGTTAGGGTCAGAGGGGAGGCTGGGGCTGCACCTAACCAGTACCCAACCAGCCTGAGGAGGAAGCCAACAAGACAGGCAGCAATGAGGGCTGAGTTCAGGGCAGATACAAGAATGTTCAAACATCAACAGCTTTTCCCCACCAGCAACAAAACAAATCGGAAATGTTATAGACATAAGCTTAACAAAAGACAGACACAACCATGGAAAGCAAACTGTGAAGGTTTTACTTAAAGACATGAAGACGCAGAGGAAAAAACCAAACTCACTGGCACTAAGGAGCACCTGCTCTGGTGAGGGCAGAGGGACCACACAAGGGAACGGCACACGCAGCCCTGTGCTCAGAGAACTCAGAGCAAATGCGGAATGACAACTGGACTCAGAAGAAGGGATAAGGAAGGGAAAGGCAACCGTGGGAAGGAAATTCTGCCTAGTTGGTAAGGTTTCCTTGAGGAAATGACAACTGAGAAAAGACCCACAGATGAGGAGAAATTACTGAAGGAAGAGGGGCTGGAAAGGGAATATTCTCAAGTCCAGGGAACACCTGACATAAAGCCCTGGCCCAGTGTGAAGAGGGATCAGAGGGGCCAGTGGTCACAAGGAGACACTTGATGGGCTGCTTCTGAAGCTCAGTGTAGAAGGGACAGTGGCTCAGATGGTGGCAGCGAAAAGAAGAGCCATGACCAAACATGGACCAGGGGATCTAGTCTCAACATTACGATGCTGTCAACTGCCACTTAAAAATTCTTTGAGTTCAACGCAAACCCAATAAAACCCCAGTGGGATATACTGTTGTGTTCTGAAACCTGATAAGTTGAAACTAAGCTCATATGAAAGAGCAAATGCATAAGAACAGCCAGTAAAATTTCCAGAATGAACAGTGTGAGAGGACCTGCATTTCCAGATAAGCAAATGTGTAAGAGAGTGACAATACTTAAGAACCTGGGGTTCTAGGAACAAGGCTAAAGCAAGGAGATCAATGTTACAGATGAATGGTTCACATCAAGCCTGTACTTACAATTACCACAGCATTTCAAATCAAGGGGCCATCAGCCAATGGTGTCCAAACAATATGGCATCTATTTTCAGAAAAGGAAATCAGACCATGTATCTTACCACAAAAACATATTTCCAAATGATTAAAGATCCAAAGACCTAAGTGGAGTGTGCGTATGTATGTGTGCAGGAAAGATAAAAAATACTACAAGAAAATACAGAGGAATATTTTGCTATTTTCAGATGGGAGAAAGGCCTTCCAGGCAAGTCACAAATCTGAGAACTATAAATAAGGTTAATGAACTATATAAAAGTTTGAAATTACTATGGTGAAAGCCACCATCATGTTAAAATAAAAAATGACAGACTTGGGGAGCTTGGGCGGCTCAGTCAGTTAAGTGTCTGCCTTCAGCTCAGGTCACGATCTCAGGGTCTGGGTATCGAGTCCCTTATCAGGCTCCCTGCTCAGCGGGGAGTCTGCTTCTCCCTCTCCTTCTGCCCCCACCTTGTGCACTCACTCTCTCTCTCTCTCCCCCAAATAAATAAAATCTTTTTAAAATGACAGACTTGAAAAATACATGCAACATACAATAGAAAAAGATTAACATCACTAATATATAAAGAACACATACAAAAGGAAGAATGATCAATCTGTACAAAAATGGAAAATTCACAGAAGAGGAAATAGAAATGGCTAATAAATGTACAAAAATAGGCGCCTACTCTCAATAGTGATTAAAGAACTACACCATTAGAACAATAAATCTGTCATAAATTAGATAAAATTTTAAATGACTAATACCCAGTACTGATGAGACTTTGGATGAAAAGCCACTCTTACACTCTGGTCAGAGTGCATATGAACAGAACTTTTTCTTGGTCGAATTCTTTTTTTTTTTCTTTTTTTAAGTAGGCTCCATACCCAGCATGAAGCCCAATACAGGGCTCAAACTCATGACCAAGAGATTAGGACCTAAGCTGAAACCAAGAGTTGGATGCTTAACCGACCGAGCCACCGAGGTGCCCCTTTGTTGGTCAAATTGTAAAGGTATATAACATTTGAGAGGCAACTTCACTTGAAGAAATCTGTTCCACTGGGACATTTGCAAGGTGTTACTCACAGGGTGTTCACTTAAGCCTTGTCATAACAAAAACTAGAATCAATCAGAGTATCCATTAATAGGGAAATGATTAAAACACCATTACATCCACACACTGGACTATAACACCACCATGGAAAAGAATGGATGCCTTTCTGGGTAAATACGCAATAAGTCTGTGAAGACAAACAAGAGAAAGCAGAGTGTAGATGCACTGAGTATTTCTTTCTTTCTTTCTTTTTTTTTTTAAGATTTTATTTATGAGAGAGATGGCAGGTGGCAGGTGCACAGGGGAGCAGAGCAGAGGGAGAGGGTCAAGCAGACTCCATGCTGAGCACTGAGCCCCACACGGGGCTCAGTCTCAGGACCCTGAGATCATGACCTGAGTGGAAACCAAGAATGGAATGCTCAACCAACTGAGCCACCCTGGCACTCCACACTGAGGATTTCTGTAAGTGTACATTGGAACCTGGAAGCACAGCCAGCCTTGGGGGAGGGATTCAGAGAATGGTTCAAGGGAAGCGTAAGAAATACTTTTGATTGTGTACCCTACTGTGTTCCTACAGAGCTACAGAGTTCCTGTGACGTCTCCAACCTTACCTCCAACTTTTCAAAATCTACCCAACTTTCCCAGCCCAGCTCAACCTCTGCCAGATATATGAAGCCTTCCTGACAACTCCGGGCCTCACCCAATTCCCTCTTCTGCGAGCACCAGGAACTCTTAGGGCCAGCCCACCTGAAAGCCCACCTTCAGTGCCGTGTATGAGCATCGATCTCATCTTCCAGAAGTGGTTTATGAGTTCCTATGGGACAGATGCCAAGATTCTGCTTCTTTTGTGTTCTGAGGCAGAGACTTGCATAGCCTGGCAGTAAGTGCTGGAGAGAAGAA